CTTGATAATTTATCAAAATAATTCGAGCAATTCAGGAATTGGCACCCTAAAGCATAAATAAAATTGCTTCGATTTCGTGGAATATACGCAAAAAAATCTTTTTTTGAAACTCAATAATTTTAATGGCCAGTCTGTAATTTACTTTTAATATTTATCCAGATCGTAATATGTACCACCAATTGATCCTGGTAAATAATCAGAGGCACAGGCACACGTAAGGCACGTACAAAAGAAACACAGCACTAAGTTCTAATATTATAATTCTCATAGAATATTTATGTGAAATACATTTCCATATCATTTTAGAAAAGCCCCTAGTAGTGATACGTAGTGGTACAATCATGTGTAATGCCATTTGCCAAAATTAAGAAAATAAAATTCAAGCCACGAGACAAAATATAAAAATAGTTTTAATTTTTTTTATGGAATGTATCTGCCGATCAGACAAAAAGTACTGTTCATATAATAAGTGTAACGAATATTCCACTTAATCGATACATAATAAAATCCTATCACACTCCTCCGACTTAGTCGCTACATTGAGACCCATTATTGCTCACTATAATCTACTCTAAGACACCTCCGCCGCTGCTTCAGTATCAAACCGCATTTCGCCAATCAACCATGCACCTTGTTCGGTTAAAATAAGGCTAAAATTCTATTGTTCTCATCATAAATATAGACAATCATTACATCAGTTAATGTTACTTTTACAATCATATAATAAATAAACATGTACTAAAATCATTCGTCTGGCTTAATTGCATTATACGAGTTATGAGTACTTCGTTAAGAATTGTTTGAGCTTATTATTGTATAGCATCATTACTTTGCAACAATCTATGGTAATAAATAATACAAAAAATATTTGTAATTCATAAACCTTAAGTATTTAACTATTTAAATTGTAAATGAAAAAGTGTACAAGATTTTTACATATATGTTTTACATTCGAAAATGCAAGATGCTAAGTAAAATTACTTCCTTGTATAAAAATGTATGCAAAATGTTCTACATATTAGAACAACAATAACGACTAAATGGTGTCATCATTTTAAAACTGAATGAATAAAAAAATTGAATGAGTTAAAAATGATATCCTAGTTTCTGATTGCATCTTGATTGTTTTATAAGTCGCTATTATGAAACCGAAAGCGTGTAACCACATACGATAGTTATGTACTTGCTTCACACTTAAGTCCTTGCCTATTACGATCTGTTGGGTTAGAATATTGAAATTCAAAAAAATCATTTTATAATTATTATTAATTAGGACCAGAGCAGTAGTTGTAATGTATACAACAAACTATGGCTGTTTATGTATATATAAAAATTACCCTATTATTTACCTGATAATTTAAAGTTATACCGCTTTCTGGGCATCTGTGTACTTTTGAAATAGCATAGGACCTTCATATCTGTAGATATGGACGGATATCCATCCGGATGGACGCTTCAATATTATTTCTTACCAAAACAAATTTAGTAGTTAACTGAAGTAATAGGTTTCGTTTTTTTTATCATATTACAAAAGGAACAGACAAACTAGCCATACCCTCCTTAATAGTCCTTAAACGGTTAAACAAATCCCATAAAGTCATATGACTTAAATTCAACATTGCAAAATTTCGTATTGCGTATTAAAATGATGACATCATTTCTTAATAAAATAAAAATCACGCAGATTATATGTCTTTTTATCGAGATTCGATATGACTTGGCATCTGTAAATTATTATTTTTATGGACAAAGAAAAATAAGTGACTGAAACAGCTGTGAATAGCTGTGAAAACTGGCGTTTTCCGAATCGTGATTTATTACGAACGTTGTTTATTTTTTAAGGATAATCGTCATGATTTCTTTTCGATGTTCAAGAAGTATTCCGTTCTTGCATACGTCCAAACTGATGCATGCAGGTGTGGTGGTGTAGAATTGTGGAAGGAGTTTGCCTGACATACGTTTTGATATTTGTTTTTTTTTTTTCACGAATATTTTTGATGATTTATGTTAAATCACGATTCGGTTTATAAATCTTTTTGTTTTCAAATAATCGAGTTACTGGAAACACTATCGCAAGCAATATCATGCTATACTCTATATATTTAGATATGAGAGATATTTTAAAATTATATGGTTAAAAAAAATCGTGCATTAATAAATAACTTGATGTTCACTATCATTTAACTTTCATCTTCAATAATTAGTTCAATTGGCAGAGACGGTCACACAGAAGAATAAAAAGTATTGAGCTCCTTTTAAGAAATAGCACCACTACCGCATATTCGTTTGGAATTGTTTTCAACCGCTGAATAGTAGTGACATAAGACGAACTACCAACAAATCGCTTAATGAAAACCGATAAAATGAAACTAATGAAAAATTTTGTGGTATTAGGACACATTACAAAATAAGCTTCTCAAAAAATCTAATCCAGTAACAGAGAATAAAATTGTGGTGCAAGTACTGAAATCGCCAATTCATTTGCAAGCGTGGCGGTAATGTCAGATTCATTCAGCTTGGGAAAGTCTTAAGCCCAGCAGTGGACCGTTCACGAAATAATAAAGACGACCATGATATGAAAATAAAATTAAAAAAAACCTAGTCTAGTCATATTGCTTATTATTTTTCTGAGCGAGTTAATCTTTAGTGTGCAGATTTGAAAAATTATTACTTTTTTGTTGGCAACACCATTTGATAGTGTACCATTGTGTAATGGCACTATTAAATGCAATAAATATATCACGTCCAGAATCAAAATCGACAAATATTCCTGTCCAATTTCACTTTAATACTAACGTCTTGTGTAACAATAAGTGACAGCAAATGCCAGAATACCTGGATCTAGTGTAAAAATTGACAATTTGTTCTTTTCGCCGAATGCGAGTTGGTGTTTTTTATTTAATATCCCTTGACAGCTACACAATAAGTATTCCGTGTGATAAAATCGACAAACAACGCGAAATTATACACAATATTATAAATTAAGAGGTATTTACATACGATATAGCCTCTAATAAACCATTTATATAAAATGTACACAGAATAAATAGAACGCTCTATCTAAAATTATTAATGAACATAATATGCTAACAATTTAAATTTTAAATAAATACACTAAAGCTTATTCAACTTACAAATCTAAATGAGTATAATTATTATGAAAATTATGCACTATATGTAAATAAAAAATAATCTTTATTTTCAGATCAACACATTAGATCAGACGTTTCAAGAGACGAATAATTTAAATAATTTATAGTCAAATTTCAGTATACAAATCAAATTTGTGCCCATTAATTGAATAGAACAATGTTAAAATAACGCCGTGTAAGTAAATACACATTAAATCACACAATATGTTGTTTAAATAGTCGTTAACTTTAATACTAATTTCAATGTAATTCTTCTTTTATATTGATAACTATCACCGCCCATGTTAATGACCTTTAAAAATATTTTGATACATTCATCAGCAGCACGATTGTGTAACTCTGGTTAAAATCGTTTGCTGGTGGGAATCACTCCGCAACTGCTTTGTTTTTTAAGTTAAAAGTTAAAGTTACAGCCTATATACGTCTTCAAATTTTTTTTTCTTGTTTCTTAGACATACAGGTTACCTCACGATGTTTTCCTTCACCGCCGAACACGCGCTTTGTTTTTATTACGATAGTATTTTGTAACCTAAAATGAGATATAAATATGAAAAAAGCATTGGCTTGTAATCGATACTGATACGTTTACATAATACAACGAAACCGTCATGACAAAGTTACACAATCGCACTGCAAATTAATAATTCATCTGTATAAAAAGACATTCGTGGAAACAGTCTTTAAAAAAATTATTAAATAGTTTTTAAACTGAAAATTATGCAGTATGTAAGCATGTACTTCATTAGGGACGGACTTTTATAGATAAAAATATGATTATTTGAATTTTTAAATGTTTTTAAAATTACGTTCAAAAACTTGAGCGGTTGAATTTAGTGTTCATTTTTTATTATTATTATGAAGTACATAATTCTAGTGTTTGTGTGTTATTGGCAGTGCAATCCTAAAACGTCACGTTTTTAAATTGTAAATGTGTTTGGAAATATCTATCACTATCTCTTTATTTTCAATTAAAGAAGATGTGATATTATTTTTATTTTGAAAATCCTTTTACATACAAACGTTAACGATATGTTGCTTAGAGTTTATTTAGGGCAACATTTTTGCCTAACAATAAAAAAATCACAGTAAAAAATATGTACACTTTTACGTCTAGGGACATTAAAAAAACTGTACTTTGTTTTGAGTATATATGAGCAAATTCGTTCCACTCATTTATTAATTCTTGTAAATGTATCATACTTCTGCAACTGTCAGACACATCATGTTGGCACCTTTAAAAATCAACAGACAAGAAGCTGGCAACCAAATATCTACTTTACTGTTTTAACAATAGTGATAAATTTTGAACAGTTACACTAATTCCTTTATCATAACTTCGTTGGTACAGATTTTTTTTTTCATAACAAACTACGATTATGTCTCAAATACAAAACAACTTCTATTACTAGAATATATTAATGCGTTATCGAGTCACTCCTATTCCCTCGTTTGTACGTGAACGCGTTACAAAGCGTCGTTGTACATACATAAAATTATCCAAAAGAACGTGTTCCTAAGAATATAATTTAAGTGCAAAATCTACATTTTTGGTCATAAATATACTGATGTCTAAAATTTATAGTTACAAAGTACCAACTACACGTCACCGAAAGTAGCGCTCGGCAGTTAATGCGTGCAATGGTGCAATTCCATCACTTAGGCCGTATTAAGGCCGCCATACAAAAATCACATACTTGTCTTTTGAAACGCGCTCCTCTATCATGCTTTTTCGTAGAACATAGCGAGAATTACTTTGACAGTGCAAACTTATAACTCAATATTGCCCGAGATGTATCACAATCGATATTGGATCACTACATACAAGTCCATCGCAAGCTGTTATCACCGTTACTGTAACATCAACGATTCGAGGTTACGGTTGAGGATCGTGTCCTTGACGGAGTTGAAAACAACTTCAATGTTGTGCGTGTCTATGGCGGTGGTGAAGTGGTGGTAGAGGGTTGTCTTCGGCTCCCGCCGGACGTTGGCGAACATGTTGAGTATGAACATCTGGACGTCCTGCAGGTTGTGAGGGTCGCCTGTGAACTGCGGGTAGTACCAGCGTATGTCGGTCTCCTTGCTGGCGACCTTCTTCGCCAGCAAATCGGACTTGTTGAGGAACAGAATGATGGAGATGCCCTTGAAGTTGACGTTGTTGACTATCGTGTCGAATATATTCAACGCTTCGGCGAGCCGGTTCGTTTTCCTGAAACGAGACGTTTACCCGTTAGCGAGTTATTTAGTTTGGAACTGGTTTTAACTTCGTGAGTCAGATTTATTAGTAAAAAGTCGATAATCAAACACGAATTTCCTCCAACAGACTAAATATGCGTTCGAGTTATAAAAACAGTACTAAAGAATTCAAGGTTAAACACGAAAACGGACACAAAGATGAATGACTAATAGATGACCCTAATGAATTCTGATTACAGTTAGTGACATAACATATATAGGAAATCCTATATGTACTTGGTAATTATTACTATTGTATAACGTTTCCCATATAAGACAAAATCGGTCAGGTTATAAATTTTATAAATATCAAAAAGATCGACATAAAATGTTTAACACGCATTATGTTTCTACAGCTAAGCTACCTAAAGATATTTGTTTGTTTAAAAAATAAAAAGAAAGCAAGACGCGAAGCCTGGTGACCTCTGATTTGAAATAACCGCAACAATACAGAAGTAGGTATTAGCGTGTTCTAGACAACTCGAACCGTATGCCTCCTCTACACTACTCGCGAAGTAGATCGAAGTTGGACGAGGCGAATAGTGTAGAGAGGTATTTCGATTCACTTCGTCCAACCTCGCTTCGCCTCGGGCGACTTCCGATCGCTGTCGGTTTTTTGCGCCAGAATCAAAGGGCTTCGCGAATTACCTCGAAGTTACACGAAGCGTCTCACTACACTACTCGGCTTACACCAGTTATGAATATTTTTTTATATATAAATATTAAATATATAGCTTTCTACATAATTATTTATTTAGTTAACGCATTGACGTCGTACTGTTGACGTCACACAATTAGGTACATAAAGCAGCTGCCTCTTGAACGTCATTCATGTTAACGGTGCGGGAGACTCGAGACGACTTAGCTCTTCACGAAGTAGCACGAGTGTGTGGTCACGTTCTTCGGACTGCGATCGACTTTGACGAGCACTTCGTCGAAGTTACTTCGCGAGTAGTGTAGAGGAAGCATTAGCTACTGCTTCTCGTCAAGTCTGAATATTTTAGTTTAGGCAATGTTTCATGTTTGTTTGTATTTGTCGCATTTTCTTGAGTTTTGCGACAGACATGGGGCGAGGCTAACAACAATCATTATATAGCAGCTAATGATACCTTAGATTATTTCTATAACCTAGACTATTTATGTAACCTTATTTAAATCGGGCTCCTTTATGTGTTTAAACTAATAACATATTACATTGAATGTGTGTTCCGGTTTCATGCTAAAATTAGCGAAACGGAATACAAAAATCATTTCGGTATCTAGTCTGTCAGTCTCTGATTTTCTCAGTCATTTACTGTAAAATACAGACGTGAATTTTTATTTTAAAAAAAAATAACGCATTTTTTTTTAATCAAAGCAAATCTATGGTGCAGAAGTGAACGGCAGAGTCGGGAAGGGACGCTCCAGACGAAAGTTTATCGACCAAATTGGCGATATATTAAAGATGGGCCAGATAAAGAGTACCCTTAACCGATACAAGCATGTATGCGTAGGTACATGGATGTAAGGGAGGCGAGAGAGGTGTGTCAAGATCAGCATCGTGCCAAATGGAAGTCCTTAGTCTCTGCCTACCCCTTTGGGTGACAGGCGTGAGTGTTTATGATATGATTTTATGATTTTTTTTAAATCATCGTATTGGAAAACTCTGATGTAAATTATTAAAAGATATAATTTATAATTTTGTCTTTACTTTTGTTAAACGCTTTATTAGCGGGGCAAAGTAATAATATTACTTTGCCCCGATCATATCTCCAAAAGCATCGCTAAAAAACTGAAAATTATAAACTAAAAAGTTTAGCTACTTTTTAGTTTATAATTTTCAGTTTAACGTATAGAAATAATAAGGAAGATTGATGAAGAATTGAAAGAATTACGCATTGACTTAGAATTACGTTATTTTTCTTATGCTTTTTTTTAAACAATGAAATGCACTAATTGTTACATTAATTGTTCAGAAATTTCAAACAATAGATGGGGGCTGATGACACGAAACACATTGCGCAAAGGATGGCTGGCACTTGACCGTTTTATTTACTCTGTAAGGTAAGCAACGAATATTATTTGAATTCACAAAATATTCCAATTGTAACGATTTTTTCTCATTTTATATTCGGGAACATTTCCGATTCTCTAAAATATTTCAATTATAATATCTCCCATTTACAATTCAAATTTTACCTATTACAATAAAAATAAACTTTTGATTGAGGGGTACTTATGCATGACATGGAGAAGAGACGATCGGAACAAATTACGAATGTGGGCGCTCGTAATTACGGGATTCACGTTATTTGTGTGTGAGTGGCAACGTGGGTGTGTGAGATATTTGGTAATGTGGATGTGAGACTTGCATGTATTTGCAGCGGAAATACGAATACGTGAATCATCGATCTGATATCACTCGTTCAACAATACTTTATCACGGCGAACAATACTTAATCACGTCGACTGTTAGATATGCGCTAGATAAAATACGAGATAGTGAACCTGCAAGTAGTAATGACAAATGAAAATTTCCCAACATTATGTATTTAACGATGTAGAGTATGTGTTTCAAAACTCAATACTGCATACGTACAAAACAATCACTATGACATACCTGATGGTCTATAGTAATGTTTTAACTTAAAAAATACAAATTTCATCAATCAAATGTTATTTAGGCATTTTTAAATCTACTACCACTTCAAAATAAGGCTGCATCTGTTAAAATTTTTACAATATCTCTCAATAGTATAAAACAAAGCCGCTTCCCGCCGTCTGTACGCTTAGATCTTTTAAACTACGCAACGGATTTTGATGCGGTTTCCATCAATAGACAAAATGATTCAAAAAGAAGGTTTATATCTATGATACATTATATATAATTCTTCTGTCCGTGTGTATGTGACTGAACTCCTAAACGGCTGGACCGATGTTGTGTGTGTGATTAAGTTGATCAGAGAATGGTTTAGATTCACAATTGGGCCCGGTAGGTGGCGTTGTTGTCAAGATCAAAAGATCAACTGTGCGAAACCGAGGTTGATCGTTAGTAGTTAATAAAAGAAATAGTCATGCACTCATAGGTCATTGAAAATTAGCTGTTAAGTGTAAAGCAAACCAGTGCACACAGGTAAAAAATTATATAAGTATATATAATTTTTATTTTATACTAGGTACCACGGGCGTTACTGCCGCAGGAGAAAAAAATATGGAAATAGTTTTAAATTTGGAAATTAAGATATTGTTTAATTTGGAATGATAATACATTCATTGAAATTGAATGATATAAAACTTTTAAGTGATACGATTAATTGTACTATGTCTACAACCTTTGCGCAAGTGCAAGCAATAAATTGACAAAAGTTTTATCTCAATCCGATGAACGATATGGCAGCGAACACGAACAAACAAAATTTTATTTTTATATATTAGATATATTAAATATACAATCACTAATTTTTGTGTGCTGCCACTAAAGATTTTTAAAGTAAAATCCCGCAGACAGAGAGAAAGAGCGAGTAATCTTAATCCAATTCGATCTACATACATTTTTTCATCAGTAATTATATAATCATCTCATCATCATAAAAATCATCAGTAATAAAAACTAGCTGTGTCATATGTGACAGTGGCATTTTACACTTTATGATAACATGGTGAGCCACAATCATAATAAATATCACTATCATAATAAATATCAGTCAATGCACCATAAATATTTTGCTTGAACACATTTACACGTGTTTTTCCGTGTGACGAAAAAAAAATCCTATTCACAATTACCTTGAAAAGTCCGGACACAATTCAAACTTTAGATTTTTTAAAGTTTTAACCATTAAATCACGGAACCGTTTCTTTATAAAGCGTGTGTCAGACAAAAGTGCGGATCGTTTGGAGGTCGGTACAGCAAAGAAAAAACTCATAATAATTCAAAATTCCAAAATTGGTAAAGCAACTTAACATCCTTACATAAATACATTTTATCTTTTACGTCTACATGTTACACGACGATTATGTAACAGACTATCGACTCGTACTAGACTACTCCGCCGCGGATGCTGGATTCTGAAGCCAACAGCCAGGGGGTGACAAACGCGCACACATCTCATTGTGGCTCATAGACATCTACATTTTTCCTCGATTAAGAATCAAAATGCAGATACGTTGTCACCCTTGAGGACTAGGATGGAGTGCCTCGTTTCCAGTAAAAAGGATCTCCGGTTCTCTACACCCACCATACGAAACACAGCAGCATTAACCTACCGTTTTACGCTGGTATGCTATGAGAGCGTGATCCTACCCCGGTCGAGCCAACCCAATCGTCTTTTAACCATAATAAAGCTGTATCGTGGCTCTACCGCGTAACATCAAAGCATAAAATAACTTTAAAGTCATAAATGAAATAAGTACGGTACATTTACATGAGCTACCTGGACCCTACCCTCACTAATAAGAGTTACAATTTACAATTGTAATTACAATTTAAATTTTACTTATTTTTGTTCAATAAAGGTTTTAAGTTGACAAGCAATAATTTACAAATTTGTCAGAAATACTAGTAAGTACATAGTAACTACTAACGTTTTATTCAAATAATAGTTTGAATAAAAAGTTTTAACGTTGAAACAATCCGTAAAAAAGTTTAATATTATTTGAATCTAAATATTCGTTATTTAGCGTTCAATAGTCTTTATATAGTTTTATTTAATATATTAAATGTGTGGTTCAGTTTTATTTTAATTCTATATAATATACTTCATTCATTTAATAAACTTCAGTACAAGTCATTTCATACTTCATTAGTTATCACGGCGGCGGGTATAGTGCGCGCGATTGAGGGAGGGTGGGAGGTCCCCTTAAAACTGGGCAGGACACATCATTTTCTTTCTTTACCCCATAATAACTGAAGTGCCAACCAACAACCAACTTCAAACAAAGAAGACTACAGATGCGTTATCCTCTCTGAAGATTAAGATGGGATACCTCACAGCATGTAACCATATTGGCTCTGTATACTCCTCTGACCGAAACAGCAGTGCACGCACTGATATTTGGAGGCAGAAATAGTATGGAGGATAGTATATACAAAGACGTGCTCCTTCCTAGGCAGAAAGGGAGTACTGCCTGCTACCTTATAAATCCGGACTAATAATCTTCCGCTCACTTGATGTCGCTAGTTGACACTGAGGTGAAGTTTTTTGTTACACAATGTCATTTAATTGAAATGTTAAAGTTTTAAATACAAGTTTATGAGTTTCTAGAGTAATAAATTAATACACAAAACAATGCCTCAGTGGTTTACTTTTTAATTTTTTGCACATTTTCAACTCGATTTACTAATTATTTTTTTTTACTTTTATGAATATCTGTGTTTTGGTTTATTTATTTTAATGTAATTAGTATAAATTATAACTAATAGTACAGAAAGAAACATTAACCTTTACATTTTCCGAACAAATTAACTTCCCCGCTATGAATTCTGTCAAATATTACAGCTCATTTTTAAGTGGCGCCGCCCTGGTGGCAGAAATAGTCGTGGATGCCCTCATGAACAGGAGTCAATACTCCTCCTATCATTCCTAGTCAATACTAGGAATGATTAGCGTTACTATTATTGAAAAAAAAAAACTTATTTAGAAAGTACTTAAAACGCAGATCACAACCTGTATGAAAATATATGTTATATGGAGTGATTTTTATCATCTTCCACTTTTAACGACGCCATAACCTATTCGAATAGTGACCCAATAAAATCATATTTACGTCTGTGGCTCGGTTTTATAACGGACTCTAGTATGCGTGTGTAAACTTTATGTAGACCGAGAGTAAATTTTTATGACTTTTTTTATTATGGTTACACCTTTATGTTTCCGTATTTAAAAACATCTGAAGATTATTCTACTATCCAGCTAGCACTACTCGTTTCGCTTTCGTACATTGATGATAAATATTGTAGTTATCTGATCACTCAAGCCTATCACCCAGGGGGATAGGCAGAGACTATGGACTTCCATTTCGCACGATCCTGGCACACGTCTCTCGCCTCCTCCACATTCATATACCTACGCGTACATGCTTGTCGGTTAAGGGTACTCTAAATTTTGACCCATCTTCAATATACCAACCAAAACTATCGATATCTACAACAACAATCTATAATTTGGTCAATAGTTTTGGTCGGGGTCCAACGTAGGGACGGATCATTACTTGGTCTTATAATATCTATACAAATAAATAAAATTGAAGTGTCTGTTTGTAATGTCAAAATTACAGTTTTTTACTAAATGCATATGAAAGTAAATACGATACCTATAACCAAAATACAATTTTTAAAATTTTTGTCTGTCTGTCTGTCTGTCTGTCTGTCTGTCTGTTTGTTCCGGGTAATCTCCGAAACGGCTGGACCGATTTTGACGGAACTTTCACTGGCAGATAGCTGATTTCATAAGGAGTAAAATAGGCTACTTTTATTTTAGAAAAATAATCAGGGTTCCGCGCAGAAACATAAAAACACTAACACGCGAACGAAGTCGCGGGGAACAGCTAGTATATAAATATAATGGAACTATACACACGCCCTAGGGCCTAGGGTGTCTGTGTGGTTTTTAATTTGGTCGACAAATTTTCGCCTAGGGCCTAGGCGAAAGTTTATCGAATAAATTGGTGATATATTATAATTATAAATATTATATTTTGTTAGTTACTATTTTTAGTCAAATCTTAAAAGCGCTTAGAAAAATATTACCTCATACCAAATATTATTCTTTTATAACTACAAAATTAAAAACGAAACACAAGAAAGTCTTATTAAAATAAAGGTAAATTACTCATCATTACTAAATTTCAAAAGACAGTAAGTAATGAGATGGCTAAAGACATTGATATAGTTTGCGTAACATCGAAAGTATTAAAAAGAATGCTTCAAACTCATCGAATATAAAATAGAACAATTTGTATTTGGCAGTAGGTACATTTTTAATTTTATTCATTTATCATTGATTACAGCACATGAAAAGTCCACTGCTGGACACAGCCCTAGATTCGCCATAGCTGCAACGGTTGGCAAGCGCGTATCTAAGCAAATGCAGTTTTTATTGTTATACTAATATATTCTTATGGTTGATAATAACTCCTAGGTGGTCGCTTCCAAATAGTTTGTACAACCTTTCATGTAAAATTTACTTTAAAAAAAATAACCGCTGGGTTTCTTGCCGGTTCTTCCCAGGACAGAGGTTTTTTTTCCGAACCAGTTGTAAAGTAAAAAATTACTTTCAATAAGAATACTTACATGTGATCTATATTGAATAAAAATTATTATATTCTATTCTGTTACTAAGTTGTTATCAATAAGACGCCGCTACTCATCCCAGGATATGGGTTAGTGGATTACCGTACGTCGCCACTACACGGCCATTTTTTTATTACGTAACATAAAATCAAAGCAGATTGATTAGTTTGGTGTAGCCTCAATTTTAATTTAAAACTTTCGATTTGTTGTGATGAATCGTTAATCAAAATTACTCAATCACCTTCGCACATCACGAAATCAGGTTCTTCTATTCACACGTTATACTAACGACTCACCCTGACATTGCCCGGGTGCATGTATTATACGGACGTTTCTCTGTAAACTGGGCAACTCATTGTCTCAGGTCAATATTATGTAAAAAAGTAAAGGTTCTTATATATTTCGTAGATAACTTTAAAAGATAATAACCTAATCTACCTCTGCTCAGTGTACAATATCCATTATAATATACTTTACTGCATCAAAAACGTTTTTTAAAGTCCTCAAAACAGTCCCCTGACATGTCACCAAAGCGGTATATTCACTTTACATTAAATTAATTTAGACAATGACTATAGGAATTAATCAAATTGATTATTCAGACAATATTAAATCATTGTTCATGAGATCTGCTTGTTTTTTATAAATATTATTTTCTAATACTAAAAAAGTTACTTAAAGTTTGTCTCCGCATTTCGTGAACAGTTCCCCTGTCTATATTTTAAATTGCGTGACATGTAATCTAAAGGTTAAACAATTTTCAATTAAATCAAATTAAGCAGTCTCCTGGTAACAGTCCCCTACCCCTCAACAGAACAAGTGACTGTTTCCGCATCCAGGGGACTGTCTTAATGCCATGTTTGTCATTGTTTTAGGTAAAAGTGTGTTATAAGGATGGTGCTAAGGAGATTTTACAAAGAAACAGAGAAGCTGAGTAAAGATAGAAGCGTATTTAAAGACTCGCAGAAAGGGAACTTAGAGAGAAAGACCATCATAAATACCTCAAGAACAAAGAAAAGGGAATTAGGAAGCTTGTTAAGAATATGACTCCACGAGAACACTGGGAAGCAAAGAAGGAGTGGAGAGAGTCCTGTCTCCTGAAACGAAAGTATAATATATAAGAAAAAAATACCAGAAACGCATATCGCGATTAAAAATAAAGCAAATATATAGCCTAAACATACACCCTTCTTTCCTAGCTTACCATATTGGCGATTTTTTAAATATATAAGCAAAAAAAGTTGGCGAGACAACTTTCTTAGAACGAGTTCCCCAGTTTACAGAGAAATGCCCATACACGAAAACCTTTCTCGAGTGATTTTCAAATGATGGTAAACACCATATCAAAAGCCATTTAGCAATTTTTAAAGATTTAAGGGAATACAAGCATACATGACTTTTGGCCTTACTCATAAAATCGACATCAATCTAATAAATTATTAAAGTTGCTATCTCTTTACAAAACGACATTAGAAAGAGACAGGTAAAGAGTAAATTAATATACTTATGTAAGAGATAGTAAACGATCATTAGTAAGGCAAATTATTTTATACCATTTAGTGATTACGTAAGGAAGTCAAGTTTCAATTTATAATTCGGTGCACATTCACCGCTTCATCATGTGAAAGAATAAGATATAAAGGTAAGTAAGGTAAATAATCATAGTCAGAGTGATAGAGCTCTGATATCTCAAGGCCTTGATGGTGACTTTAATTTTATAATTCACTAGTTTTAAATATTGATTTAACACGTTCTCTACGCTAAATAAAACATTGTAAGGGTACCGACATGCCTAAGATATTTAGTCAAAACACGTGTCAACACTTCCTCTAGAATTCATTAATTAATCAATCAATCAATTCTTCATACACTAAAACATATGAAAACAAAAAATGAAATATATATACAGAAGGTACAATAAGAGGCCTTACGGCTCTGAAAGCTATTTTTTCCAGACACTTTTTTTTACTGTTGTTCATAAACAATGGTGAAGAGGGAGGCGTGCATAAGTTTTACAACTAAATTTTTAATTATTATCCTAAATTATTATTAAATAATAGAGACCTGTACCATGCGACCATTCGTATACCACATTCATCAGCCTGTAGCATCCTCTGCTATGCATAAACCTCTCGAAGATTGCTATTTACTATCTACGGCTTCATGCAACCATTTACTGTCAACCTTGTTACTATGCTCCAACTAACCCCGGAACGTTTCATATTACGATTGCCTAAACTCGTAACACCATTCTCACCTGTCTTCTGACAGCACCTGATCGAACTCCGACGACGACACGAGGAACAGTATGGACGTGACGGAGTCGAAGCACTGCGTCCATTTCTGTCTCTGCGTCCGCTGACCGCCGACGTCGACGAACACGAAGGGTACGTTGTTTATGTTTATCGTGCATTCCGTGATGCCTTTGGTCGCCTTCCGACAGTGCAGGATGTCTTGGTGGGAGGGGACGTAGTCGGGCCTCGCTATGCGCTCCAACTCACCGAAGAAATAGCTCACTGAGTCACTCTGAAAAAGAAATTATCTCATTTAATACAGTGCTAATATATTTTATACACATCGAGTGAAAATAATCTTGTTACACTAGATTTTAGATCCCGTCGTAAACAGAAGCTCATCTCTACAAACGTTTACATACACATACGCGCAAAGAAACAAACATCCAAACACTTTCACATTATAATATGTACAAGGGACGGCGAAATCGGTCGTTATGCCGTTTTATGTCTAGAGCACTAAGGGGTCAGCTCGACCAAGTAAGGACCAAGTTTGCACGAATCCACCATCATCAACAACACAAGTCCACTGCTGAACCCAGACCTTCTCCTTCCTTCTATAGAAACTTTCTCACCACAAAACACTGTTCTGAGAGACCTACATCCATCGACTTCTGCATGTCTTACCAGGTCGTGAATCCATCTAGAGTGCGGCCACACACTTCTCTTACTGGTACGAGCCTTTTTTCCCCATCGATTATCAGTCCCTCGGTAGCTATGTGACCGCCCCATTGTCACAGCGTTAAATAACAGCACAATATTGTTAAACATAACATAACATAAACACTCACGCCTGTCACCCAGAGGGGTAGACAGAGATTATGGACTTCCATTTGGCACGATCCTGACACACCTCTCTCGCTTCTTCCACATCCATATACCTACGCATACACGCTCGTCGGTTAAAGGTACTCTTGATTTGGCCCATTTTTAATATATCGCCAATTTGGTCGATAAACTTTCGCCTAGGGCGACCCTTCCCGACTATGCCGTTCACAATATTGTTGTGTTTCGTATACCTAGTAAATCGTAGAACAAGTTACATGTATGAGTCACAAGATAAAAATAAAGAATCTCGCAGCTATCACAACCCTTGTTTTGATATTCCTATGTTTTTTAGAATCTCTGGGATTCTATAAAAAAAATCAGACGCTTATCTTACACACGCATAAAAAGTTATTTATTCTGCGACCCCTAGCCTATTCAGCTCTTTGTTTAGCAAAGCAATGACACTATAGTGTCATTGCATTGCTATATTTTTTTTTTTACTTATTATAAGCCAGTGCTTGACCACATATCCCACCTGGTGGTAAGTGGTGATGCAGCCTTAGATGGTAAATCGCACTGTCTTATCGTAACAAAAGCCTATTCACTCTTGCCTTGAAGACGCCTAGATTGTATTCGGACGAAAAGATAGACGCCGGTAAATTATTCCACTCCTTTGCTGTACGCATTACAAAAGACGAAGCAAACTGTTTGGTTTTAATGCGTGGAATATCGACAACAAAGGGATGAAGACCCGCCGACCGTCTGGTTGTCCGATGGTGGAAAGAAGAGGGAGGAATTAAGGCGTGTTATTCTTGCGCACACTCACCGAAATGCATCCTATAGAATACCGAGAGACTGGCTACTTGCTATATGAATACTGTGTATAAATGCTATTTGTATACAAATACTGAAGTAAACACGACTTATGTAATTCAAAATGATAATTTAAGATATTAATACGTTTAGGATGAACAATATACGAATCATTTATTTCTCATTATTTATAACTTAACAAAAGCGGATTTAACCTTTAGGCATTCTCGCCCAGTCAACCTTGGGTAGTGTAATGTGATAGGTGCATTATTTTCAAATAAGACTGACTAAAATAAGAAAAAACTAATAATCTTGTAAGCTTTCACAAGAATATAATAACGGAACCAATACATAAAGATATCCTTATTTAATCTCAATAAGACGCTGTAAAAACATAATATAACATCATAATATTTTTTAAGGTTTTGTTTAGAAATAGATAGAAAGGTATTTTTTTCATATATTTACAATGCCACAATATAAATGTGTATAAAAAACACAATTTACGAATGTTCAGTACGCGTAATGCCCTCAAGAAAGCAGGCAAAGCACATATTATGGAATTGAATCAATAATATTGGGAAAATTTCTATAAGTGTAATTCAACCTTCAACATAACAGAGCAACCACCGTTTAACTTATTAAATGTTGAATATACAATAAAGGTTGAATTCGATACTTAGCACCTGAATCGTCCTCTAAGGAAGCCCCAATCTTGACTATGAACTCCAGTGTTAGTGGTAGTAAAAATAACTTAAAACTGATGACCGAGTTAACCTTTGGTTTAGCACAATGGTAACAATATATAATATACTTTATAATTATTTTACAAAAATGAAGTGACACGGACTAACAGTCCATCTGTTGGTATATCGCTACTGCTGTCTATGGTAACATGCATTCAACTTCAAACAAATAAAGCTACAGATACATTGTCATCTCTGATGACCAAGATGAAATGCTGACAAACCTGTAATTATACCACGCGGCGTTCTTATACCGTTTAGACCGCACCACAGCTGTGCACGAACTACTTTTTGGCGGCAGAAACAGGTAAGCGGGTGACAAACAAGCACACAGTCCACCTGATGGTAAGTGGATACTGTGACCGATAGACATCTACATCTATTCTCTATTATGGATCAAAATGCAGATGCGTTATCACTCTCAGGACTAAGACGGAATGCCTCGTTCTATATGAATATCATACTATACGAAACAGCAGCATTAAGGGGCTACTACATGCGATCGACCTTGAGCATTCGGCCGACACGCCGACTCGCTACAATATATCGCGTAAGAAATATGCAAGACGCCACCTACTGTACGAACGTAGTATTATTTTTTCAACATCAATAAACTATTTTAGGGAAATACACACGGCGTACAACGATAAATGTATTTCAATTTTTTTATTCGATATATTAGTTGCAATATATTAGAATTATGTATTCTCATATATTATCTAATTATGAAATTTTATAATTAATTATTTATTAAAAATGAAGCATTGAAAATTGTGAGTTTAAAAGATACCTACTCACTATAGGTAAATAGATAGATAGCTCGCCTTTTGTACAAATATTTGGTGCAATTAAGAATAAATAAATAAATAGGATGTTTCGCAGATGTGTTTTTGATTATTATTAATTTTTACGTGTCAAGTATTGAAAAGTAACATACCTACCTACTAATTTTTGAACTGAGCACCTTGTAACTTAGCCTGCTTATTACTTATGATGGCTGACTTTATCCTCAACCCGATGATTGATGAAAAAAAACATGTTTGTTTTTATTTTTATTCAATTTTATTTCTACATACGTAATTATATTTATTTATACATAAGGGTAACTTTAATAAAGGTAATACGAAAATCAACAAGAAGTATAAGGGTTCAATCTTTCAATTTCAATTTTAAATAAACGTTACCCCTACACTAGGATTTTCTCCTGTGTCGTGGACGCAGTTTACAAACATAAATTGCATAAGGACAAACATCCAAACCCGGAACAATTATTTGTAGGCCATACAAATACTTATTCCGTGCGGGATTCGAACCCGCGGACCCCAGCGCAACAACCGATTGCTAAGCCACTGCGCCACGGAGCCGTCGCTGGGTTATATGTAGTGACCATACGTCCCGTTTTGAACGGGACTGTCCCTTTTCTCGGTTACCTGTCCCATTGTCCCCCAAAAAAGCTCTGGGACACAAAATTGTCCCGTAACTCGTTGGATGGAAGTATTCGAAGCCAACAATCTTCAACATATTTTTTTTAATCGAATATATTTTATGGTACAATGATACAAATGCTCCAGTAGAATGAGTATTTTTCTATTTTGAATAAATTGAGGACGTATAAAAAAAACACTTACGGTTCCAGTTCTAAAGGCGATGTTGTTAACAAAGGTAAACGAAAACTTGCCCAGAATTTTATTCTTATTTAAAATAAAATAATCACCAACTTTATTAAAGCAAATTTAATCCACTGACAAATGTAATTAATAATTTTAAAAAAATATGTTGCATTTAATAATTACCGTCTATACGAAATATAATTTTATAGTGAACACTAATTGTATAAAGTTATAGTCTTTAGAGTATAAATAAACCCATGTCCTGTTTTGAGTTAAAAAATAAATGGTCAGTTTAGTTCTTTATAGTTAAATTTAGTTTTAAAATTTTAGTTTATAGGGGTTTTTGGGTTGTAATTAAATGATGCCCGGATAGGTATAAGTACTTACTTAGTAAAAGTAGGTAACTATTTAGATAAGTACCTTTTATCTAATTATAATACCTACATAGGTATCTATTGTGATTAGTTATACTGGGTAGATACATATTAATACCTACTTAGATACTTTTTACCGAATTACTATACCTAGTAAGATATTGTGGTTAGGTATTAGGATTATTTTTAACTGTATACTATGCTGATAATATTGAATTAGCTTTTTATAGTGTAAATTATAATATTTGTCGAAATGTTACTTATGGATTCAAACTTTACATGCTAATGGTGCTTAATTTTTATTTTGTATATTGGCATTTACTTCAAAGAAAATACACGCAAAAAGCTTCATCGCGCAGTAAAAAACACAACAAATATATGTATAACTAATACGAAAAATGATACCCAAACAAACAAATAATACTACCTATAAATAACCTAATAAGTAATAATATTATAATATTGTCGACTGATAAGATGACGTGAGCGTGTGCGCTGGCCGACGCTGCGACTAACGACACGGGTTTCATCTTCAAGAGCTCAGCGCTCACTGACTCCAGCAACCCTGCGGGCAGTGAATACGCCCAGTTTTTAAAAGTATTACTCAATAAAATCAAATTTTGGTCTTTTGAAAAAAAAATTATGATAGAAATGTTCATTAATAAATTGCCTATCCATTAGTGTCAATCGCAAAATAAAATAATGCTTACTTTATGAGGAGATGCATGTTATCAATAATTATATCACATTTATGTGGTTTCGTTGTAAGGAGATTATTTTAATATTTATTCCTTTTAAAAAAATTGGATACGACTCTTATGGAATCAAGATTATGTAGAAATAATGTGTTTTTGTTAGTTGATATATCTTTTAAATAAAAAGTAGATAGCTCCTAAAAACCGCACAAATAACGACTAGCGC